CAGGAACATGGCACAGGTTCAGTTCTGGGTGGCAACCTGCCATGGCATAGTGTTTCTGATCCAACCCTACAGCATGAGGAACATGCCCTCCAGCCAACCTTCCTTGGCTGCCCTCCCATTTCAGGGCTCTGTGAGCCACACAGCTGTTGACAGGTCATAGAGCAAACTAAGCAGCTGGGTTTTAACATTTGGGATGCTGGAGCTGAAGAAAAGACCTTAGCTGAGTCTTAGGAAGATGCATGATCTGAACATTGCATCCCCAGCTTACCCCACAGCCAGCTGAAGCCATTGTCCCAACCATCAGCAATCAGGGCATGGGGAGCCCAGGGAAGGCAACAAAAGGACAGTATACCACCAAACAAAATCCTAGGGCTGCTGGTAACATCCTTCCCATAGCTACAGGTTACAAGATGATAGCAGTTGTGAGGCTGGAAGAGAAAAGGTGCTGGCAGTGGGCGCATCTGGATGACACACGTAGACTCATTGAGGTTGAAGAAGACCTCTAAGTTCATCAAGCCCAACCCATCCCAATTAACCACATCCCTCAGTGCCACATCGCCATGGTTGTTGAACACCTCCAGGGACAGTGACTCCAACACCTCCCCAGGCAACCTGTTCCAATGCATCGTCCCTCTTTTGGAGAAGAGATGTTTCCTAATAGCCAACCTAAGCTTCCCCAGTGCAAGTTAAGGTCATTATTTCTCATCCTATACCTCACTGTAGCTTAAGAGATCGAGCTAGAGATCTCTCCACTAGCTGGAATAGAAGCTAGAATGCCTCTATTCACAAGCTGAGCTTGAATAGAGTTCCTGGACCCATGGGTGGGGTGGAAGCTCCAGGTGTAACTAGATGGGGCTAGTAAGGCTGATTAGCACCTCAGAGCCCTAATATCAAGAACAATCTCTCAATGGTTGTGTGTTGTGAGCTGCTGAATTGTGCCTGATTTTGGGGGAACAAAAGCAACGTGCTCGTTTTTCCTGCTGTCCTCACTTGTTCTTGGGATGTCTTTATTTTGGCATTGCCCTCTTCTAACTGCAGGGCTGGCACTGTATCTGTTTAGTGAAGCATTAGAGACCCTCAAGCAAGGGATGTTTTATTACTTCAGGACACAAGGGTAGACCATGAGACTGCATCATCTTTCCATCACTCTTTGAAGTGTGGGAATCATCTAATTAGCAGGGAAAGCAACTGGAAGTTATGGAGCCTAGAAATCCTGACGTTTGTGTTCCATGGGGCCTGGTTTTATGGCAGCCCAGCAGGGAAACTATTCTGCTATGATGCCAAATGATTGCTTTGGGGATGTTATCTCTTCTGAATGTTAATGGCCATGAGCAAACAAAGGCATGTGTCTGAAGGGGAAAGAGTCCCACCCTAGGAAGGAAGGCAGTCTTCTTTTCATGCGTTTACACTAAAAGCTGATTCTAAATTCAGCTTTGGGAAGGTCAGTTCCCATGCAAGTATCAACGTGAAGCATCTGTGTCCACAGGAAGGTTTATGGGTTGTGACCTTACCACCAAGAGGTTGGTCAGTCTGTCAGAAGGCCTTATAGCGAGCAAAAATCTCTTTACTGATTCACAAAGCAAATGCCATGGTAGTGTGAGCTGTCCCAGAAGTCTTATAGCCTTGAGATCATAGAATCATAGAATGGCCTGGGTTGAAAAGGACCACAATGATCATCTGGTTTCAAACACCCTGCTATGACCTGCAGGGTCACCAACCAGCAGACCAGGCTGCCCAGAGCCACATCCAGCTTGGCCTTGAATGCCTGCAGGGATGGGGCATCCACAACCTCCTTGGGCAACCTGTTCCAGTGCCTCACCAGTGAAAAAGTTGCTGAGAGATGAGTTGTACCTCCAGCCACCTCCAGCCAGGCTGGCTGCTGCTTCCCTCCATTGCTGATATGAGGTTACTCAAAGGTCACCATGACAAAAGCAGAATTCTCACTTTGTGGAGCAATACCTTTTTCAACCTTGCAAACCCCCAGATATGCAAGCCCAACCCAAAGCCCACAGAAGCACAAGGGGCCACTGGTTTCTAAGCTCAATAGATGGAATACAGAGGGGAGGAGGAACCAAGTCCTGCTGATCAGTGGAGGACATGGACCTTCAGGTCATGTCTACCACACATGGGAAGGGTGTTGGCCTAGCAAGGCCAACAAGCTTGGAGGCCTTTCCCACTATCCTTCAGACTGCTTGCTGACTGGCAGCAATACAAACAACCCTGCCTGTAGCTAACAGTAATCCGAGTGGGAAATCCCTCTCCTTTCAGTTCTCCTGCCCACTGTTACAAGCCCTGGGTGAAGCTGGCTCACTGCAGGTTGTGCAGCACCTTGCCAACAGCTGAAGCCAACAGAAACCAGTACCAAGCTCCTCATCAGTCAGGATTGCCCTTGGCAGGATCGGGCCCTACAGATCAGGTTGTTTCTGTAAGCCCTGGCTCATGCTAAAGAAATGGCAGAAGGACCTGCAGGGCTTTTTCTGGAAGGGCTTTATCCATGGAGGTGACTTGGGATAGACCTGATTACCCATAAGGACCCCAGATCTCTGCCTTACCCCAGGCAGAAATCAGCAGCACCCAAAAGGGAGCATGATGGCATCCTTCCTGCCCTAGAATCCTGCTCTTGAGGGTCTCCAGACTTTCTCCTCATTGATGTCTCTTGCTCCTCTAAGACAGGGAAGTTTAAAACCAGAGTGAAGCTAATTGTGGGAACAGCAGTAAAGTGAGCTGGCTGGGAAATGGTCACTTTGGAGAGAGAAAGTTTTAGCACATAGCAGACATGAATAAGAAGATAGCAATGCTTCCCATCTGTGAAGCATCACCGTGCCTCCACCCATCACTCCTTTCCTCTCTGAAAGCATCTGCAACCAGTGCATGGAAATTCATGGAAGAAAGGCAGCTTAGCAGAAATCTTTCCTCTCTTGTGTTCTCCAACTCCAACTCCAAGATGGAGTTGGATCAGGTTCCATCCAGAGATGCTCTCTGGGGCTCAGAGCTGTTGCCTTCACTTCAAAAAGGCTTCATCTCAAGCATCTCTCACTTGCCACCCAGGAGAGGAATATGTCCCCTGGGAAGGAAGGCTGCATCCACACACACTGCAACTCATTGACCTATCCACCATGTGGGTCCTGTGGGTAGCAAACACTTCCATGGCCCCTCTGCTTGAGGAAGACAAAAGGAGTGGATTTAAATTATCATGATGTCAGGGCTCAGCCCTGCCCAGTTGCTGGGGAAGATGGAACTCAGCTCCCAGGCGCTCCTGATTTTGGCCATCAGAATATGACTACCCAACATGGACTCTAGCCACTAACACCTCTCAGATGGTGATGTTGATGATCATGGGCAAACAAAAGCAGCTCAGGGCATGGTCATAACTGGTATTTCCCTGGGAGAGATGGAAAAGTTTTTGAGATGGTAACTCCTGCTGGCAGCGTAGGACCAGGAAGATGATGTAGGCCCTCATGGTCAACTCAGCTTGAACCTCAACAGCTTTGGCTGCTGCTTCTTCCTGCAGCTCCTGACCCAATTTCTTGGCTGGCTGACTGAGAGCTGTGCATGGCTGTAGGGTTCAAATGCATTTTTTGTGCCAGTGGCTCCAGCTGGTCTGCCTCTGCTCTGGAGAGCTGGTGGAGACAGAGTGTGAAAATAGCACAGGAGAAAGATGTGACCACGGCTCCCTCTTGTAATCCGTGGGTGCTCTGTTTTTAATCTAGCTTGGGAAAACCCTGAGGGCTGTTTCTGCAAGGAAAATAGAGAGAGCACTGAGCTGTCAAGGTTAACCAGCTCCACCTGTTTCGGGATGGGGCAGGCTGTGCAGAGCCTTTGCCACATACAAAGCCCTCTTTGAGCTGTAGGGTGAAAGCAGGCCCAAGGCAGCTCCCATGGACTGAAAGCACAAACCATAGTGTTGCCATCACGCTACGGGTGAACTGAGGCCAAGCCAGCCTGTGTGAACAGTCTATTTAAATCACTGCAGCTTCAACCTACGTATTCTAGGTCAGGCAAGACCTTGGAGCACTGGAGTCTGGAGCTGCTGATGATGGCAAGGTGCCATCATGCTCAGAGAATCATAGAATCATTGAGGCTGGAAAGACCACTAAGATCATCAAGTCCAATTGTTGACCCATGCCTGCAACTGCTCTAGACCATGTCACTCGGTGTGACATCTACCCTTTTCTTGAAAACCTCCAGGGGTGCTGGCTTCACCACTTCCTTGGGCAACCCATCCCAATGCCTGGCTGTTCTTTTTGAGAAGAACTTTTTCGTAATATCTGTCCTGAACATGGTGCTCCTCCATGGAGAAGGTGTGTGAGGAGCAGGTCTAAGGGGGTGACATTCTTTGAAACCCAATCTTTGAGGAACAGTATGGGGACATCTGGAGAATCTTCTAATGTCCATAAATCCCTGCATGGAAGTGCAAGGAGACATTTCTCTCTGGCCCACGGTGGCTTTTTGTCCACCCAAGAGCTCTCACTCTCTCATTTTATCCCTTTCCTGCCCAGTCCAGCCCCAAACCAAGGACATGGAGGTGTTCAAGACCCAGCTGGATGAGGCCCTGGGCAGCCTGATCTGGTGGGGGGCAACCCTCCCACAGCAGGGGCTGGAGCTTGGTGACCTTTAGGGTCCCTTCCAACCTGAGCCATTCTATGATTCTATTGCTGGGGAACCAGGCACATGTACCCATGCCTCTACAATGCTCAGCCCATGGCTTCCAGGCCTCAGGACATCAGCCAGTCGAGGATTTTTGGACAGATTCATTTTAATTCCACACCAAAATAACAGGATATTTGGACGTGTGTCTCCTCAGAAGAAACTCATTTTCATTGCCTTTCTCAATTTGGAGGAATTGGGGAAAGCTGTTTTGCAAACATCTTCCTAGAAGGTAACATTATGGGGAAGGGATGATTTTATAGGTTTGGTTTTACTACTTTATTCCAGATTGAAATGTTTGCAGTCATCACTACACTAATAATCTGGGTTGTTACACATCTCTAGGAGAAGTACTCAATGTTCAGTCCATCCTTTAGGACATGGAGGACATTTATTTCTCAAAATGGCATATCTGTAGGGCTCCTTGTCCCCAAAATCCCTGACTCCCCATGTAAACTCTTGGCAATGAGGTCTAACCAGGTCTCACAGGCCTCCTCTCCAGCAGCAGCAGAGGCTGGAGGCAGCTCATCACAGGGAGCCCAGTACAACCAGATACCTCTGAGTCCTCCCACCTCCAGTGTGGAAGGAGGGAGCAAGGAGCCTGAAATCAGGCACTGGATCTTTCCATTGCAAATGGCCCAACGGTGCCAAGAAGTTTTTTTCCACTCTACTATAGGGCTGATGAAAGGAAAGTTAATTATATCAACATCCTGTTTACTCACCAGCATGAAACAAGAAGCCCAGATATACTTGGGGTGTGAGGGCATGCTCTGATCCGGTTGCATGAAAGAAAAATCTCAGCCATGCAGCTCAGTCTTCTTCTTTTGCAGGCAAGGCATTACAGGCTTCCATTGCCCCAAACTTTGGTTGGATTGCTGTGGAAAGAAAATCATACAACGTCTACTGGGCACAACGTGTCACTCCCTGGCAAGTTGCTACCATAATTTGCATTCAAACACCTTGACCTTATGGGTCATGGGATATGGTTGATGGGTTATAGGGTGTGGGTTATGGTGGGCACCCACTGGCATTACTGGTGTTGGGTTTTCCTCTTTCCATATTAGCATGTTGTATTTTAAATGCAAACAACTCAATTTGTACAGATCTGGGGAAGCCACCCAGGACATGAAAGTGTTAATTTGTTCTGCCCTTCCTGCTGGATTAGGAAACAGCAGGAGAAAACAACTTTGCCTACCCTCTCCTGGTCAAAAAAAAAAAAACAAAACCAAAACAGTGGTGTGACGTGGTGGAAAGAGCTGAAAGGCACAAATTCCTGAGCAGGAGCTCAGCAGGCAGGAGATTTGTCACCTGGACGTGGTCCAAAGAAAGTGCTCAGGCCTGCCTGCAGATGTCATGAGTTAACAGCACATTTCTACCTGCGTATCATATTGATGAAGTTTGAGAGATAGAAAATCAGACAGACAGACAGACAGACGCCCACATCTGCATCTGAATTTCATCAGAGTGCCGGAGGGCCTGACAAAGTTTGTGGTTGGGTCCATCCTGGTGAGAGCCCATTGGAGAAAGGAGGATGTCAGGCTGAGCCACAGTTTTTGTAGCTATCCTTCAACCCCCTCAGCCTTTTTCTACAGGTGATGTGCTCTAGACACTCATTTTCAGTGACCTTCCAGCACTTTTGGTGAGGGCAATGTTTAACAGTGAACCCCTGGTACGTTTCCAAAGCACAGTTACCTCCTGCCTCCTGCAGATCCTGCTGCAGTTTCCAAGGGTTGTGCAGCAGCCAAAATACAGCGTGGTGATGTAGGGCATCACCACTGTGACCACTACGTGGTCAGATGCCCCCCAACAGAGGAGTTGCCTCTCAGTGGTCAGGGTAGAAGCAGCTTCACATTAATGTCTACACATTATGAAGCTTTATGAATTGGCTTGCACAAGATGCTCTGAAAAGAGCAATTGAGAAAGGACAGATGGGCAAAGAACTTGAAGGACCTTCATACCCAAAAAAGCAAGAACCAAGAACACCTCAGCCAAGACTGAGTTAAGTCAAAGATTTTGCTCTTCCTGTCAAATGAAAACCCAGTCCTAATTAACATGAAGCCAAGTGCCATGGCTAAGACTTCAGAAGAAAACTCTTGTTGCCAAGTAGATGCAAAACTGAAAAGATGATGGGTTTTTCCAGACTTCGTTATAAATTAACAAGGCTATCCAGGTGTATTTATCATTCTGCAACAGAGAAATGTCTTTGCAAAACAGTGGGCCTCCTTCTCAATCTTCTCTCATGCCCTCTTTCATTAAGGCCATCTGAAGAGGAGGGGGAGATCCATTTCAGTCCTTGAAAAATGTGTCACCTCATGGGGAGGACTGAAGCAAGAAGATGGAGAGGGCTACAGCTGCCCACTGGGGACTCCTGGACCATGGTGAAGCTCCAGGCACCACCTGCAAGGAGCTGTGGGATTTGAGAGAGGACCAAAGGGACATTCAGACCTTCACAGAACAGCATCTGGAGACCTTGAACTCAAACAGCTCTACGGGTCAGCGCTTGCACAAGTGTCCCACGTGAGCTGTTGTGCCTTACAGCAAGCAGACATGGATCAGATGGCCTTTTCCACCAAAAGATGTGGATTGAAGTGGTCAGAAGAATGCATCAATTTGGCAAGTCATCTGACCAGATGAAAAAAAATATACACAAAAGTGTGGGTTGTTTTTTAGTTGTTTTTTTTTTTTTTTCCTTCGGAAAATTCAACATCTGACACAGCTTATTCACACCAGCAGTACTAAATCAAAACAAGAGTTAAGGCTAGAAACAAAAACAACTCTTTTGTTTTGGGTCAAATTTCATTTTATTTTATTTTTTTCAGTCTCTGTTTTCAGTGGAGGAGGTTCTTCTGTTTATTTGACTCAGCCCAAAATTCCCTTTGATTTTGCAGTGTGAGCTGCTGAACACTACACTGGGTTATTTGCACAGCTGCGTGCCCCACCACTGAGAACAAGTCCCTCTTGCTGGAGGACATAGGGGCAACCATTCAGGGTCACCATAGAAGTCCCACATGACACGTTCTGTGACAGATCACAAGGTCCACCAGTGTCCCCATCCAACCCTTGGCATCATGCAAAGAAATGAGTGTGGTGAAGCAAAAAAGCTGGATGGTTCCTCAATGATAGCTCTGGCCACGTTGCCTCTACTGGATGCCTATGGATGGAGGAAAAACTAGGTCCATAAAATACATATTTTAGAAACTTCTCTGGGATTGAAAAGGAAGACATGAAGAGCTTTAAGGCAGCTACATGTGATCCTGGTTGCTCTTTATCCTGACCAAGTGCCGCTGAAAGGAAAAGCCCCAAAGTTGCAAAGGCCAACAGAGGAGAGTTTGTTACCAGCCAGGAAGGAGATCTGCTCAAGGACAGAACCTTAACCTTGGCAAACACTGCTGCGTGATGAATGCAAGGACTGATTCCCAGTCCCCTGGCTTTCAGCCCCTCTGATGCACAAGACACAAGTTGTTTTCAGAAAACAGCTGGAATCTTTCCTCCCCACCCAACGAGAGCAAAACATTTATTTTCTCTTAACCTCATTCTTGCAGAACGCTGAACAATTTTAGATGAAACTTTCAAAAAAAAAATGGCAGCCAGCCTGAAAAAAAAAAAAAAGAAAAAAAAGAATAGAGTCTGACAGAGTTATTAAATTAAGCAATTAAAGACAAAGTGTTGTAATAGGAAACAAGGAGCTTTCTCCTTACAGACATTGAAATGTAGCTGTCCTGGGATGTGCTGTAATGGAGAGAGTTATGGATGAATGGATGGATGGATGGATGGATGGATGGATGGATGGATGGATGGATGGATGGATGGATGGGTGGATGGGTGGGTGGATGGGTGGGTGGATGGGTGGATGGGTGGATGGATGAATAAAGGAATGGATGGATGGATGGATGGATGGATGGATGGATGGATGGATGGATGGATGGAATAAAGTCGTAAAAAGAAAAGAAACCCATTACTTGTAAAGGGCAAAAAGCAGGATGTTCTTCACAACACAGGGACCAGAGAGTCCGTGGGGCCTCTTCCCTGAGGATGTCCAATATCTTCCAGGATGTGGGCACCCTGCTCTTTGTGTGCCAGATGGGACAGGGCTGTGACATAGGAGTCTGGGGGGGCCTACAGCTTCAGCCAGGGTGGGATTCTATGAAATGAGTTCAACACTGCACAGAGCAAGCTCTACATGTGTAACTTTCTATAAAGCAGTTCTATTTGCCCTAGGAAATATAAGCTCATGGCCCAAAAGACCACCTAAAGCCTTGTTGGGATGCAGTCCCAAATTGCACAGACTTACCTGGGGCTTCCAGGCAGCTCAGACACATATGGAAATGTAATTGCAGAACTCTGGAAGTTGGTGCTCCGGTGAGAAATACATCCAGAAACTGTAATCCAGTGAAAGACAGCTGGAGGGTAGCAGATTTCCACTGTAACCACAAAACATCAGAACTGCAGATACAGCAAAAGCTGTGAACAATCTGAAAAATCTGCTTGGGCCAAGAATATTTACATCCCATTTGGGATTAGCAGACCAAATCATTCAGACCTCAGGGACACTGGCTTAAGAATTTTTGGATTGTCAGTGCCTTGTTTAGGCTTTATTTATTTATTTATTTATTTAATCTGTTTCTTTTATTCTGAATTATTTTGTCCTATCTTTTCAGCTGCCTTCTCTGGGCAGCCAATGGGACCAGATGCTTTTCTTGCCTAAAGATGCATCTGTGCCATATGCTTGTGAAAAACGTGCACACACAAGCCAAGGCTTTAAGGAAAAGCCCCAGAGATCCCATTCATCAGCCAACATCCTGCATCCTCAGTGTATCGTTCTTAGTCAGATTCTTTTAATAGTCTTTCTATTAATTGATGTTATTACTTTGGTCCCTGAGTGATCCTTCCACTGAACGGGATTGCGTTGTGCAAGATACCATGCAAAGAAAAGCAGTTTGTAGTGCAAAGAGATAGAATTGCCACTCCTTTTTCAAGCTACATTCCAAGTTTGCACCGAGCTTCAAAAATTGGGTGAGATTTCCAAGCTTTGTTGAGCAGGAGAGTGATAGAAAAGTAGGGTCAGCATCCCAAAAGCAGACCCAAGAACATGCAACTCCCACCAAGGGGCCAGAAGATGCAGTGATATTTGCTAAGTCCCCATCCCTTCTATCTTTCCTCAATTCCCATTTCACCACATCGGTTGTAGCTGAGATGGACCACGTCCATCACTGCAGGAAATCCTGCACTGAGAAGGGATCACATCTGGGAGAGGAAGGAAGGCTGAGGAATGAGGCTGTCTGGGTTCAAAGCAAATATCCTGTGCCAACCACGTCATGAGCCCCATGACGTGTCCCCACCAGACTTCCCAAGCCACGGTTCTCTTTTACTGCACCCATCTGCTCCCTCCAGACATAACCCCACAGAGATGCTTCCTATCATGTTCTCCCTTCATCCTGGCACGAGCCATAGGAAGGTGCCAAGACCCAGCTGTATGGTGGATTTGGGAGACGTGGTAAAATCCTGGTTTTGCCATAAGCCAAGCTAGACTTCAGGCTTCACTGGCCACCAGTCCATCACTCCTGCCAACAGACTGGCTAAATCCATTGCCTGCTCCTCTAGCAGGAGAATGGGACTGATGTACAGTCCAGATGCTGGCTTGCAGCCCTCCAGATGGTTTCTCAGGGTAAATGGTCAGCAGAGGCAGTGGGGTGTCTTTCCAGCATCCCTGAAATACAACCTGGAGTCTTAAAAGCACAATACTTGAATCCAAACACGGATGCTGAAATCAACCCCTTTTACTTCCCATTACCTCTCCTCCAACTCCCCTATAAACCAGCTCCCCATGCTTTGGGAAATGCTAACTTCATCCATTGCTCATCCATCCTTCATTTATCCCTACTGCAGGACCTCCAGCCTAGCTGCACACTCCTCAAAAACTAAAAGCTCTTTGTCCCTAGAACAGCTCAAAATATGATTTCTTCTGCTGGGAAAGGGAGAACAAAAGATTTTCTGTCCTCCCCAGCAATACACAGCTCCTAGGTAGTAGGTTCTATCAATATAGACTTCAGCAAAGCATCAGTTGGACGAGATGATCCTTATGAGTCCCTTCCAGCTCGGGGTATTGTGTGGTTCTATGATCACCAGCATGTTTAAAGGCAGGTTTCTAAAGCCCTCTAGTAGAGCTACAGAGAGCTGCTGGCAGGAAAGGAGAGTTGCTGTGCTTCTGGATACAGCCACTAGAGGATGGCAGTGTCCCAGGTCACCCGCTTCATTCTGGAAATCCCCGGGATCCAGATTTGGAATATAGGCTGTAAAGCAGATCCCAATGGCATGTGGCTCTGAGACCACTAAAAATGCTCTACTGGGTTACTCTGAGATTCCCACGCAGTGGTGGAGCCCACAGAGTGTGTTGGGATGCACAGGGACCCAACGATGGGATGCCATCCCCATGCCTGGGAGTGAAGAATGCAAGAGGGAGAGTCCAGCTGTGCCCCAAATGTGCTGTCTGAGGTACAGCTCATAGATGTGTTCCTCCTCATGAGGAAAGCAAAGAAACTGAGCTGGGTTTGAATGAAACAACCTGTATTAAATAGCTCAGCTGTTCTTTCAAAATAAGCCTGTGGTTAAGAATGACCAAATTTGCAGCTAAATGCACAATATTTGTGGGTGGGCATGGCCACAACATGCTGCAAGTGGGTGATCATAGAATCATTAATGTTGTAAAGGACCTCTAAGATCCTCTAGCCCGAGCCCAACCCATCCCCACCATGCACACTGACCATGTCCCTCAATGCCACATCTTCACATCCCTTGCACACTTCCAGTGTTCAAGTGGTGACTCCACCACTTCCCTGGGCAGTGTGTTCCAATCCAGCCACACTGAGCCACGTTCCAGCATGGTGCCATGCTGGGCTGACCCCAGTGCACCCAGGTCCCTCTTGGATTGGGGAACCCCAAATGGAACGTGGTCTCATGTCGGTCCCAGGAGCTGCTCCATAGAACTGCATCCCATCTGGGTGCCCAGATACATGGGATTATCCAGCCCTGGATATCTGCAGAATGTCAGGTGGGTTCTGCTTTGGCAGGGGGGTTGGACTCGATGATCTCTGGAGGTCCCTTCCAACCCCTACAATTCTGTGATTCTGTGATTCTGTTGGATCCTTTCTCCATCCTGTTGGGTATGAGAGCTAAGTCCAGCCCAGGACTGCTGCTCCCTGCGATTAAACGCCCATAACACAAAGGGATTAAGAAAATAAAACCAACAAAGGCCCCAGTGTCCCCCATACACCCTGCAAAACAAGCTGGGGACACGGCACTTTGGCCAGTTGCAATGGCCATTGGAGAGGGATATCTGCTGGCACAGTATCTGCCTGGAGCATCCCTGAAATACTTTTCCAGTGCTAATTAAAGCCTCCGACGTAAGTTGTTTTATGTCATGAGGTTACATAACACCTGAGGGTAGTCAGGGCTTCCCACTGTGCCAAGGGCAGAGGTGGAAATAGATCCCCCAGCTGCCATCTCCACACTCACTATCTGGCACTGGAGGGCTGGAGGATCTGCTGGCTCTGGGGAAGAGGTTGTGTGGCTTGAAAACAAAGTGCAGGTGACAGCAGAGTGCTATAGAGCAGACAGCCCACCTTGTGGTGCCTTCAGATGGGGACCTCAACCTGTCACCCTCATATAAACGGTGTCACAACGCATCCAGACCCCACAGAATTTACGCCATGGCTCAGCTTTCTCCACCCAAACAGAGTTATAAAAAGACACGGTGAGACCTGAGCTCCATCCAGTGCATTCCTTCCAGCAAGAAGAGTAAGTTTTCACAAGGGACCAGGCTGAAGTTTCAGAGCTAGAGCCAAGTCTTTCTGAGTCAAAGCTCCCTCCAAGTTCGCCAACTGGATGCGATCACTCCAGTTTCATGGAAAAGGCACCTGGCCAGGAGGTGGATGAAGCATTGCTCAGTGCAAGTGCTTCTCACCCATGTGTAAAATGGGGCCTCGGTGACACAAACGGGGACAGATGACTCTGTCAATTGGGATTTCCCCTTTTATTCCCAAGGATGGTGTGGCACAGCTTCTCTCAGTGCCCACACGGAATCACAAAGCTGGACGCCTCAAAGGAGAACAGGTCACCTTGGTGGGCCGTGCTTCAGTTTCCCCATCTATCACAAGGAGATTAGTTCATTTCCAGGATGTTGTGAGGCCTGTAAACAAACACGGCCAGGGCAGAACTGAGCATCACATCAACCCAGCATCACTCAGGAAGAGAAGACACAACAGAGCCTCATATTCCCAATCAGCAAGGTGACAGACAGGGTTGTCACAGGACTGGACATGCTGAGTTCCCCTATGCCCCAAACCAACTCCAGTTGCTGTGTCCCAGCTCTTCCAGTCCTCTTGTTTATCCAGAGGGGTTATGCTTGGGTGCAGTGGGGTGGTGATGGTGCTGGGAGCTGCAAACTCCCATTGAGACATAAAGAATACATGGAAATGGTCTCAAGTGGTGCTAGAGGTGGCTTAGATGGGACATTAGGAAGAATTTCTTCATGGAAAGGGTGGTGAGACATTGCAATGGGCTGCTCAGGGAAGTGGTAGAGTCAAGGTCCCTTGAGACCTGTGGATGTGGCACTAAGGGGCATAGTTTAGTGGTAGACTACAGTATTAGGGGATGGTTTTACTTGGTGAATTCAAGGGTCTTTTCCAACCTAAATAATTCTCTGATTATAGAATTAACAAGGAAGATGGGCTCACATGGTGTGGCAACCACCTCATAGTGCTACTGCCAGTGCAACATCACATCTGTGTGATGCTTTGGTGCCTAGATCCAAAGTGGAGGCTCAGCAAGAGGAAAACCACCCAGAGGTGAACCATGGGCACCATGACCCAACTTGTTCTGAGCATACCAAGTAGGGGAGCAGCTGGGGTTGGATAATGCTCAGGTCAGTGACCACATCTCCTTATCCTCCAGAAACACAGAATGGCTTGGGTTGGAAGGGACCTTAAAGATCTCCCAGTTAACCAGTGATAGAATGGGAGACAGTGACCTCAAGTTGTGCCAGGGAAGGGACAGGTTGGATATTAGGAAAAAATTTCTTCCCCAAAAAAGTGGTGATGCATTGGGACAGGCTGCCCAGGGAGGTGGTGGATCACCATTTGGATGTGTTCAAGTATTGTGGAGATGTGGCACTTGGGGACATGGTCAGTGGGCATGGTGGGGGTGGGCTGGGGCTGGATTTGGGGATCTTAGAGCTCTCTTCCAATCTTAATGATTCTGTGATTCTATCATCCAGCCCCAACCCCTGATGTGGGCTGGTTGATCCTCACCAGACCAGGCTGCCCAGGGCCCTATCCAGCTGGGCCTTGAACACCTCCAGAGATAGGGCACCCACAGCATTCTGGACCAAAACATGAGCAAAATCTCACAAAACCACAAAGTTATGGAAAAAAAAAAAACCAAGACCAACCACCCACAGGAAGCCGAGCTGATTTGCAAACGCGAAGGAGCAGCGTAAGAAGAAAGAATAGGGAAGATTTTGGGTTCCCCCTGCTGCAGATGGATCAGTCAGTGCCATCTGTTCTGTTTCCTTCTCCCCAGACCAGGCTCAACCTGCTGGATGGGAAGCTCATGGTGCAGCGCTCCGAGGTGTTTACCCATGCTACGGTCTGTCAGAGCATGATGCTATCAGCAGTCACCGCCGTGCCTGTACTTGCAGCAGGTAATATGCATTCAGCATGAAGGGTGGGGACTTTCCTCCCTCCCAACTTAAAGGCAACTTCACAGAGCAGCATCTGTCTGTAATCAATGAGAGCAGACGTTTGATGGCTACTCTGCCAAATTTTTCAGGCGTGCACGCTCTGGCTGAAGGCCACTGGTAGCCATGAGAACGGGGCTGGAGATGATACTTCTTGCAGAGGCTCACAGGGATTTAATCTCCTTCCTTTTTCCCTTTTATTCTTTTTATATTTTATATATTTTTGTGCATGTGTGTGTCTGCTAGAAAGCAATGCTGTGACGTCCTCAAGCTGACAAAAGGAATCAAAGCCACTCTGCTCATCCCAGTGTTGTTGGATGGCCCTGCACATCCACCATTTGTCCAAGGAGGTTATGGATGCCCCATCCATGGAGGCACGTGGCTCTGGGAAGCCTGGTCTGCTGGTTGGCGACCCTGCACATAGCAAGGGGGCTGAAACTAGATGATCATTGTGGTCCTTTTCAACCCAGGCCATTCTATGTTTCATTGGCACTGCCCATTGAACGAGCACCCAGCTGGTTCCTCACAGATCATAGAATCACAGAGTTACAGAATCATTTGAGTTGGAAGGGATCTTTAAAAGCCCAACTCCCCTGCAATGAACAGGGACACCCACAGCTCCATCAGGTGCCCAAAGCCCCATCCAGCCTGTCCTGAATACCTCCAGGGACGGAGCCTCCAGCACCTCTCTGGGCAACCTGCACCAGTGCCTCACTACCCTTATCTTTGAAAAATTTTCCTTATATCCAATCTAAATCTCCTCTCTTTTAGTTTGAAACCATTTCCCATCCCTAAAAAATGCTTAAATTCCTGAGTCTCAGGGGGATGCTGGTGAGGTGGATGGGGTGGCAGATCCTTCATGCTCCTGGATGTGATGCACCCACTGCTAAAACCTCAGCAGAGGTTTTGGGGGAGGCAGTGTGTGCATGTGGGACTGTCTGGGTCTGCACAGGGTTTCTTGGCTCCGTTCCTAGATTGAAGCATTCCTGCCTCTGTATGGTTGATGTTCTCCAGATGTTTCGCATCACAGCCTCATGTAGAAACATACGAGTCCAAACAGAAAGATATGCGTACAGCCTCTGGCTCAGGAAGTCCCGAAGCAGCAAAATTGCCGGAAGCTGCATGAATATAATGTGGAAAGCATTTCCCTGGCTTGGCCCTTGTCTTGCATTCCTCCCCAGCAGCTCCTTGCAGTCCCCATCAGTGTCCGGATGCTGGAAGAGACCAGTGGTGGCTGGGGGCCAGAAGGATCTCTTACCACCTTGCGTGCCTCTGGGTCTGCTGCCTGAACTGCCAATTTTCAGTGGATTTTAAGAGCTGGGACAAGGCTGGGGACAAGGCATAGAGCACCAAAGGGTGTCCAGGTCTCACCACTCATCTGGTCCCCGTGGTGGCTGCTCCCCATCAGCGGAGGGAAGGCAGAAAGCTTTCATGGGGTATGCAAGGATTTTGTTGAGTCAAGGGAATTCCCAAGCACAGCTCAAGAATCTGCCTGCATCCCAGGAGCAAGCATTCCCTGCTCTGGAAGAAGACACTTGAAATGTTTTCCTGACATCAGTGGTGGGCGAATGCCCTTGGCAGACATCTCTCTGTCCTGCCAGATCATGCAGATTACAAGAGGTAATGACCCCATGTTGCACCAGGGAACGTTCAGGTTGGATGTTAGGAGAACGTTATTCTCCAAAAGAGTGCTGATGCATTGGAACAGGATGCCCTGGGAATGGTGTAGTCACCATCCCTAGAGGTGATCAAGGAGAGGTTTGCACTGAGTGACATGGGTCTAAAGTGGTCATGGGCATGAGCTGATGACTGCACTTGATGATCCTAGTGGTCTTTCCAACTTTGGTGATTCTATGATGATTCTAAGAAATGTGGAGATGTGGCACTGAGACACATGGTTGCACGGATCAACGGTTGGACCTGATGATCTCTTGCAACCTAAATGATTCAATGATTCAACCACTCTATGATACTTCCCAGCATGGAGGCAAACGGTGATCACTCAAATTCCCCTTTCCTATTGAAACTGGCAGCACACTGCACCACTGCTGAGTACCACAGTGAGCTGAAGGGGAGGAAGAGCTTCAGGGCTTGGGTTGCCACCCATGAGCAGGACCTGCTCCACTCGTTGGGCTGGACCCGATGCATAAATTGTGTGGATGGGTGAGTGGAGGTGGGTCAGCCGTGGGCAAACCCAGCGAAAGCAGCCTTGTCCCTGACTCACAAAGCAATTTGTGAGTCACAGCTCATGGGTGATCGCACCCGACCACAAGGAGGAGGGAGGAAACAAAGTCCTGCTGATGCCACAGAGGGAGTGGAGGTCAGAGGAAGAAGCACTGAGCCATACTTCCCCAGAAAGGATCTTCCCAAGAGGAACCTTCTGGAGGTCTTCTGCATCCCACTCCAGACGTGGAGATGGGGTGGGAACTCCCTAAACACCTCATCTCTGCTGTCCACAATGCATCTTAGTTCAGACAGCAAAGCTACCCTACAGACCTCAAGGGAAAGGAGGGAGAAGAGGAACCAAGGAGGGACCAAATGGCTGCTACATGTCCCCATGACTGGGCAGAGACAAGGTACAGGGACAGATTGGCTGTTTTTATGTCCCTTTTACCACTGTCACACACCAAGATGACCAAAGCCCATTTCTGCTGGCTGAGGGGAGCTCACACCACATCACTGACAGAGGGGCTGAGATTTCAGCAGTGTAGACCTCACCCAGAACTACAGTTTGGGTAAAAGCCCAAGGGAAACAGCCTCCTCCTCCATGACCAAGGGTGAATCAACCACCAGAAGGAAAGGTTGAACCAGAATCTTCCCACCAGAGCTGATGTCTTCTGTTCATCCAGCTTGGGTTGCATGGATAGATGCAAGCCTAACCACAGCAAACTCAGTAATGTCACCACTTACAAGCAGCAAAGAGGTTGGCCCTGTCCCACAGCCCTGTTGTGATCCCCTGAGGCAAACCCATAGGAGCAGAAGAACTTCATGGGACAAAATTGGGTCCAATTCCTGGCTTATCATCCCATTTCATCCCAGGCTTATCTCCTGGAAGGACGACAAGTTTTCCACCTTCCCAAGAAGACAGACCCATCCTCCCTTATCACCTCATCTCTCCACCATAAGGTCCGGGCATGCAAGCCTGCTGGATTTCAGTTGCCTTCATCCATTGAGTAGGAAAAACTGGATCTTCCCATTAATAAAGAGCAGTGTGATTAGTGGGAGAAAGTGAATGCTGTGGCTTCCTCTCAATTGAGGTGATGAATCAGAGCTTGGACATGCATCCTTGCTCCCCCAGCCATCCTGTTTTAGGGTGCTGCTGTCTGACAAGCACTGTCAGCCAAAGGGGAAACTGAGGCAGGAAGGTGTACAAATAGGAGCTGATGAGAAGAAGCAGAAGCCTTGCATGGAGCACCCATGATGGCCATAGGGCTGCTCCGGACCCAGCCGCAGTCCTGAAATACCAAAAAAAGTAGACTTTTCTCCCAGGATGTGCTAAGGACACACTGCATGCATGGTTCCAAGCTTTTCCAAGGGAGGAATGGCAGAACCTGATCTCCAGCTGCATTTGCTTCCCAAATTGATCCCACCCCTGCAGGGCCAAGGCTTGGCAGGCTCCTTACCTGGAGCACAAGCAACAGCCACAGGCACTGCCAGCAGGTTTGGGCACACCCCTCTGTGCAAGGTGAGGATTCCCACAGCAGGAATAGGACTTCAAATTCCAAAAGTCAGCTCCTTGCATCACAACTCAGGCTGTGCCCACTGTCCTGGGCAGCCTGTTCCATGCCCACCATTCCCTAACCCCCAACCTGACACAACCCAGTGCCACCCATGGCCATTCTGTGGCTCAGGAGGAGTTGGGGCTGAGTGAGGCGTGATGCCCACAGCTGGGCATCATGGGTCAGTTTCATGTTGAGCAACCCATCTCACCCAGGAGGGAGGTGAGGTCACGGAGCGTCCAACCACACCTCAGGAGGCTCTGACACCTCCTGCCAACCCCACATCACCACACTCACCAGCCTCCAATGCCACCACCTGTTCCCACTTCACCATCCCCACCTCTGCCGGCACCAGGAGTGTCACCTCCTGTCCTCACACCACTTCCTATCCCCAGTGCCATCCCACCCCCAGTGCCACCCTGTCCCCTAGCATCTCATGCTCCCACAGCCCCCATCCCCATGGTCCCCCTACCCCTATTGCCCACATTAACTCTCCATTCCCCTTGTCCCCCCTTCATCCCTACTGTCCCCATATCCCCACTACCACCTTGTCCCTATTGTTCTCCATGTCCCCATTGTCCCCAATGTCACAATTATGCCCCCACTGTCACTTCGTCCCCATTATACCCCCAATGTCCCCATAATCCTCTCCACATCCCCATTAACACCCCCGTCTCCTACATACCCACATCCCCACTGCCTCCAGTGCCCCAATTATATCTCCATTGTCACCGCATCCCCATCACGGCCCCAAAGCCCCCATCACCACCAAGATCCCAATCAAGTCCCCATTGTCCCCCAAGCCTCCATTACGTCCCCAACGTCCCCCAGCCGCCCCCCTTATGACGTCACTCCGCACCACCCCGGGGCGCGCCGCGCATGCGCACTCGGAAGCGCGGTGGCCGTGCCCACTGGCGGGCGGGAGGGCGGGGTGAGGCGGGGGCGGGGCTCCATCCGGGTCCCTCCCCGCCAGCGGCAGAGCGGCGGCCGGGCTCGGGGCGAGGCGGTGAGTGCGGGCCGGGATGGGGCTGAGGGCTGCGGCTTTTTGGGCTGTGGGGCACCCCGCGGAGGGGTATGGAGTCCTCTTTTGTGCTGCGCTTTTCTTTGTGTTTCCCTATGGGGCGCGCTCTCTCCCATAGGGCAAGGATCCCCATCCCCTTGCAGCGCTCTGTGGGGCAGGGATCCCCTATAGGGCAGGGCCCTGCCCTCCTGCATCCCTATGGGGCAGGGCTCCCCCTCCAGCATCCCTGTAGTTCAGGGCACCTTCCCCATGCAGTCCCCTATGGAGCAGGACTCCCTTCCTATGCACTGCCCTATAGGGCAGCCCCCTCTCTATGCTGTCCCCTGTGGGTCAGCCGCTTCCAGCACTCCTGTGGGGCTGGACCCTCTCCCTGAATAATCCCTATGGGGCAGGGGCCCCTCCAGCACCTTTGTAGTACAGGACTCCCTCCCTGTGCACTCTCCTGTCCCCTCCAGCACCCCAATGGTGTGAAACCCCATCCCTGTGTGCTGCCTTATAGGGCTGCTGCTGCCCTCCCTTCTTTGTGCATTCCCCTCCTATGCACCCCCCAAGTGCTGTCCTCTATGGGGTGACAGCACCCTTATGAAGGTCCCCACTTGAAGGCAGCAAGGACACCCCCACCCCGTGCTCACTGGGGACAGCCTTGTCCTGCATTAAGGGTGGGATTAAGCATGGCACGCACCCCACAACCCTCGAAGTGTGGCACAAAGGGACAGGAGACAGTTCCCCACCCTCTGTTCTCTCCCTGCACCCCAAAAAGGGGATCCCCACCACCAAGCCCCGAGGCAGTGTGCTATGGCAATGTGGTGTGGGCTGCTTAGGCTAAAAAAAAGAAAAAAAAAAGCCCAGATAAAGGGAAAAAATAAGAAAAAATGAGGTTTAGGGATGGAAGCGGTACAGCGGGGCGGGCGTTCCTGCCATGCAGGCACGTACTGAGTTTGCTGCTCTTGGCACCAGCTGCGTGTGGGTCCCATAGGACTGTGAGCTGCAGGGGAAAAATGCACCTCTTGGGGTGGTTTTTTTCGTGTTTTCTCTCTTTTTTTTTTCTTTTTCTTTTTGCACTTTTTCTTCTCCTCTTTGTTTGGGGAGGAACGCATCTCCCATTCCCAAAACCCTTTGCACTGTGTGTAGTGGAGTTTTGCTATCCCCGTGATGCCCACTAACAAAGCACAGCCGGACCCCGTGAGCCATTGCCCATTGTGCATATGGGGTTTGTTGTTCTTTTTTTCCCATTCCCCCCCCCACCTTTGGCAGGAGCTGTGCATTACATACAGCTCTGGCACGCTCCCCGCCTTTGATCTGGAGCTTCCTGCCTGCACAACGTGTTCAGCAGCACGCGAGCAGGGACGTGGACAGGGCTGCTTGCCTCTTCTCATCCCCCCCTTTATTTCACCCTATAAATCTTGCAGGAGGTGTACTCTGGCTTCCAGGTGTTGGGACATATTTTGTGGGATGTGAAGTGAAATAATGTAAGGTTTGCATGATGTGCTTGCAATGGGACTGAGGTTCATTTGTGGGCTTTTTTTGCAGGACAGCAAAATGCAAGTTTTTAGTACTTCAATATTGGATTCAGTATTGAAATCTCTATTAGAATCATAGAATCATTAGGGTTGGAAAATAGCACTAAGATCATAAGAGTCCAACTACTGACCCTTCACCACCATGCCCACTATCCCATGATTAAGGTTGGAGGAGATCTCTGAGATCACCAAGTCCAACTGTTGACCCATCACCACCATGCCCACTAGTACTTTTCCTTATGTTTTTCCAACCTATCCCCCTCCCCCATTCACACGTTCGGTTTAATAGTGAAACGGTAGCCTGAGTTCATAGCAATGTTTTTATTTTTTTATGATGGGTGTAAACAGAGCAGCCTCGAGCAGTGCTGGGTTAGTGGGGCGATGGGCTCTGTTGCTGTGCTCACAAAGGCTCCAGCTGATGCCTCTGGAGTGCAATGTCATCTGTAGCAAAAATTAAACAAATTTGGCCTGGAGCCTGGAAAGACAACAAACTTTTGGCCTCAGATAACTCAGAGGAAGGGTATAGCTCCCAACAAATGGAGTGCTAGAGGGCAAAGTGGAAGGAACTCAAAATGCAGTAATTGGTTTATTTAGAGGGGGGAAAAAAAGAGAGGGAAGTGCTGACATCGCCATGGTGTTTGCCCAATGCATCTTCATAGAACCGTATCACCAAATGGATTGGGTTGGAAGGGACCTTAAACCCATCCAGTCCCAGGGCTTGTAGCAACGATGGACCGAAATTCCCAGCCATCCTGAGGGCTTCTGTGCTTGTGGATCCCCCTCTCTGCACCTCTTCATGGAATCGTCTAGGTTGAATAAGACCTTTGGGATCAGCGAGTCCAAGCCAGCCGCACAGCAGCTGTAGTAGAGAGGATGCACTGCATGGCCCATCCCACTCCCTGCACCACAGGACCTCGGTGGAGCTGCTCAAAGAACATCTGCAATGGGACAGCAGAAGGCATTGCAACGTAGCAACACAATCTCCTCTGTGACCCTGCCCCTTGCCTGCTACCTGAAAGATCCACATGGCCCCATTCCATGCGTGCACCCAATGGGCATCCTGCAGCCGTCCCAGCATCAACGGTGACCTCAACACAAGGCTTTTGCACTTGGCTGCTCTGTGGTTCCCATGGAAAGCATGCGTCAGAGCACAGAGGGTGGAGTTTTGGGGAATTTCCCTTGCACTCGAGTGTTTCAGAGCACGGGGGTTCTGTTTATTTTTGTTTCCTGCAATGGCTCATCGAGAAGTCATCGTTTGTTGATGTGTGATAACCTTCCTTTGCTTTCGACGTCCCTGAGCCCTGTGGCTCAGACTTTGCCTGGGGAGCGACCTGGCGTGCTTTGTGTTGGGAAACTCAAGGCTGGACGTGATGCTGGGAAAACTCAGCAAAGATGGGCTCTGAGCAGCTGATGGAACTGTAGATGTCCCTGTTTGTTGCAGGGGAGTGGCACCAGATGGCTTTTAAGGATCCCTTCCAACTCAAAACATCCTGTGATTCTATGACAGAAAGCAACAGCACTGGTGTATGGTTGTTGCCCGTTGCTGTATCTGACAGCCATGCTAAAAATTCATTTTTTAACCTGAAAAGTGGGAGTGCTAAGCATCTTCTCCACACCCAAGGATGTGTGATACCCAGGTGCTCAGTGGGACTGGAGTTGCATTGTTCTGATGCTCAGAGCTGCTTTTTCCTCTCCATCATACCTGCAAGTAACCCAGGCTTGCGTGTCCTTAAGCCCTCATTAATTCACTGATATCTGCAAGTGGTTGAACCTGAGTGCTTCATGAGGATGTATCCACACAGGGTTGTGATACCGTACCCAGGCTTCATTGTGCCCCAAATCTGGATGCACAGCTGGGGAGCGAGAGGTAATAACCTCATGTTGTGCTGGGGAGGGTAGATTGGATACTAGAAAAAAACTTTTCCAAGAGTGGTAATGCATTGGAACAGGCTGCTCAGGGTGTAGGGGGGTCACCTTCCTTGGACTTATTCCAGAACCATGGGGATGTGGCACTGAGGAACGTGGTCAGTGGACGTGGTGGGATGGGTTAGGGCTGGGCTTGGGGGATCTTTGTGCTCTTTTCTGACCTGAATGATTCATGAAGTGGCCTTGGATGTCTCAGTGCTGCAGCTGACACCTTGCTCATCCGGCTTAAAGTTCGCTGTCAAAGCACAAGGAGCACACATGGTTTGTTTTGCAGCTTTCGTGCTCCCTGCATCACTGCTTTTGTGAGCAGGACGAGACCGGAGCAAAGGGCTCGTTTGTTTCCATGCTCGCTCCTTCTTCTCTGCGAATGTGGGAAGCAGCCAAGCCCTACTCCGTCTGGTTTTTATTACCGTGGAGGATCAGGCTGCAGGGATCAGGCTGCTTTTAACTCACAAAGCACCCGGCAGGAAACCACGCCAGTTCCCAAGCAGCGAGAGAGAAACTGAAAGCTGTCGACCAGGAGAGCAGCCTTGAGTTTATTTTAGCCATTTCCCAACACTGGTGCTCCGGCTGCTTGGAAATAGTGGAGTGTTTCACAGCTCCCTGGCTGGGAAGAGCATTTTTTTGGGGAAAAAAAAAACCAACAACAGCTGTGGGGCTGGAGCAGAGCAGGGAGGTGGATTTTGACCTATCTGGCAGAACGGAAGGCAAAAGGTAAGAGGGTGGGAATGCAAATATCCCATCTGATGGGGTTTGGGGAGCCCTGGTTCATCCTGGTTGATGCATTAGTCATAGAGTCATTAAGGTTGGAAATGATTACTAAAGTCCCCAAGTCCAACCCACCCCACCATGCCCACTGCCCATGGCCCTCAGTGCCACATCTCCACTGCTCTTGAGCACCTCCAGGGACAGTGACCACAAGGACAGCCTGTTCCAATGCATTACCACTCTTTTGAAGAATAAATGTTTGCTTATTTCCAACCTGAAAATGCAACCATTGAATATCCAACCATTCAGTGCATCCTATCACTGGAATGGCTCCTCCTGCTTGAAACAATATCCCGGCATTGGGATCACATTCAGCTCATCTCTGCTCAGAGCCCTTTTGCAAACGAGCAAATATTTCTGCCTGCCTTTAAAGATGCGCTTTTGCCATTGTTGTGCAGAAAGCCCTCAGCTGGGCTGGGTTTCCCCCGGGGCAATTTCCTGGCAGATTGGTTATGAAGGCAGCTGCGTTTTTAGTTTTTCTTTTGTTTCCTTTTTGTGAGCTCAGCTGAGCATGTACACATGGAGTAGAACAAAAGCTGGCCCTGATCTGCGCCGGCGCGCACCCGGCAGCTGGCATAAAAGAGAAGGTGATCCAGGCT